CAGAGCCCTGGATCGTGAGGGATGCAGAACACTGGGGTGCCTCACTATCTAAACTTGGGAGAACCATGCCCATCTCCCCAGCTGATGAGGATTTGGCATTACCCAGGCATTTCACCATTTTTCTTTTGTTTATAGAGATTTAATTCACAGCACCAGGCACTGAAGTTGCAGTAAACAAACTGCTCATTCGTGGGTGGGGTCACAGAGGACAGAGGAGATGTCACAAGCTTCTGGAGCGACAACTGCAGGTGAGGCCTCTACCTGGCGAGGACAAAGGGCTCCAGGTAGCTCTGAGAAGCAAGGTGGACACGGTGGCTTCCAGACGAGATGCTAGCTGCACCCACATTTCATTCCAGCCAAGTTTCAAGCCTCACCCCCTAGGTGGTGCAAACACTCCACTCCTTCCTGCGCTGCCTAAGTCCTGTCTACACTTCCAAAATGAAACACCTATAGCTTGCCTGACACGGTCACTAAAGCAAGCAGAGAAATAGATGCATCTTCCAGCACAGAGAGCCTCTCCCTAGCCAGGTCTCCAGGAACACGGGGGAAGAGGGGCTCCCCAGTCTGACCCAGGGGGTTCACTTCTGGCAGTAAGAGCCTGCGAGCCTGCCATTTCCGGGTCAAGACACAAAAGCAGAGCCATGGAGAGTGAACACATCCAGGCAGGTGCGGGGGGCCCATTCCAGGGCAGAGGTGGCATTTGACAGCTTTTTTCCTGAGGGAGGGCCACAGCCTGGGCTGCCAGGTGGGGAAGAGACAGGAACTCTGCTAGGAACCAAGCACAAGAGAGGGAAGGCCCCACTCGGGTACCATCCAAGGGCCCCTTCTGCCTGGCCACAGAGGGCAGACTTCATCAAGGATAAAATAGCTACACTGAGCTTTCAGCTGCCTCCAGGCAGCATTTTCAGCTTTAAGTCCAGTCAGGTGACCCACCAATGACCGATGACAAGACAGGATAAAAACCTCATCGGATGTGGTAGTCCACACTTGGAATCCCAGCACCGTGGAAGGCTGAGGCAGGAGGATCACAAGGCTGAGCCCAGTCTGGAGAATTTAGCAACCTGGTGAGATCCTGTCTCAAAATAGGCTGGGGATATAGCTCAGTGCGAAGCCCCTGGGTTCGATCCCCAGTACTGAAAACAAAAGTAAACAAAAAGCCCCCAAACACTTCTATGTCAGAAGGGGGTGCTGGGTACAAATGTAGATCCCCAGACCACACCCACAGACCAAAGAATGAGAATCTTGCCGTGTGGGTGACGCGGCTCTGTGGGGTGGCAGGGCGCATGCTCGGAGGCTGGGGGCGGGCTGTGCCGGGGGAGGTGTCCTGGCCTCCGGCCGAGGAAGAGATGTCAGGTGCCCATGCGTGGCACTGGCCGTGAGAAGCTGCGGTCACGGCGGGGTGATCAGGCTCATCGGCCCTGAGGGCTCCGGGTCAGGAAGGGGCCACCAGGCAGGACGGTCCAGCCCACGCTCCGTGTGCCGTCCGCTGGCCCGGGAAGGGGAAAGTGTGGTCACGACCTGGTCTCAAATTCCTGGGATCGGAGCACTCACTGTGCAGCAGAAACGTACGCCCTCTGCCTGCACCCGGAGGAGGTGGGCAACCTGAGCCCCACAAGGACCCTCTCTCAACAGCTGTCCCATTCAACTCCCCTTTAACACGCGCTCCATGCAAAACATTAAAGCTGCAGTAGATACTCACGAATATTTTTAAGGATTAAAATATATGCTGGAATAAAATTCCTTACGTCATTCAGAAATACTTGATAAGATAATTTAAAACCATCCTCATCTGTCTGCTTGTCTTGAGACAGGGTCTCGCTATGCAGCCCAGGCTGGCCTCAAACCCATGGCAATGGTCCTGCCTCAGACTCCCAAGCGCTGGCATTACACAAGCACGCCACTGGGCCTGATTTAAATTTCAAATCTGGACGTTAATCTATTCAAGTGACCAAAAAGCTAGGCTACGGTCAAAAAACAGACAGTAATTCCAGCCAGTTCTAACTTAATAACACCTGAAAGTTTTTTCCCTACTTTGTAGGCTTACTAAAGCACAGGGACTGCATTAGACTGCACAGTTCACAGAAGCACAGACAGCAGGAGGAGCCATCCCAGTCCAAAGCTGAGCACTGCCAGCAAACGCACACCAGCGTTGCACTTCCCCAGATGGCTGTGCGTGTGAGCGAGCACGTCTGACTGCACCCGCACCACTCCGTGTGCACGCACGCCCGTGTGTGTGTGGACGTCTGAAATAGGCCACACACTGGTGTTTTAGAGATACCTTAGACATTTTCCACATAGCTCTTGATTTATGTGTTCCAGCCTTTAATGCTGTAACGCTGCAAGAGGGGCATCCGTGGCGCCTGCGTGTTGGCGCTGTGAGTGAGGGGAATCCCGGGAGCGACACCGCGGTGTCCAGAGGTCTTTGCCATCCATTGCTACGTGGGCAACGCCCACGCAGGCCGACCAACAGCAGCGAAAAGGGGCAGCACTGCCCAGTGCATCCCCACGCCGCCCACTCCCAGAGGCGCTCCCTCTTCCCACTGGCTAAACCCAGGACTCTCTCCAGCTGTTCCCCACGCTCTGCTTTATCTACCTCTAGAAACCGTGTCTTGGTGCCATTCTTCAATCTCTGTCTTCCCCTTCTGTTACTCTGAAAATTCCTATGAGGGGAATTTTTGTTTTGTTGTTTTTTGAGACAGGGTCTGACTATGTTGTTCAGGGTGGCCTTGAACTCACTATAGGCACCCAGGCTGACTTGGAACTCCTGGTAACCATCCTGCCTCAGCCTCCCGAGTGCTGGATTATAGGCGCGCGGCACCACACCTGCCTGTACCATGGGAATTCTCAAACAGGCAGCAATGTAGACATCTCGACTCCCAGGTGTCTATCACCCAGCATCAATTTTTTTCTGCCCAGTTTTGTTCAGTTTTCTTTCTTCCCTGGATTGTGCTCAGCTAAATCCCAGTCATAATGTCAACCACAAATACCTGAGTGAATTTCTAACAGCTATGGGCTTTTAAAAAGTTGGTATTTCACACAAAATTAACAATTCCTTAACATCATCTGACACCTAGTCCTTCAACTTTTCTGTTTCAAAATGTCATTTGAAGTTAGTTCTATTCAAATAAGGACGTATACAAAGTCCTTTAAGTTTTCTAACCTTTAACCCACCACCACTTTTATTTTACAGCTGCAATTGGACGAAGATTATTTGGAAATTCTTACCTTCTGGATTAACATCTTGATGTATTTCTTAATTTGAGGTGAAGTTTTTCATTTGTTTGTTTTTTGGGATACTGCGGTTTGAATGCAGGTCCTTTCTGCTGAGCTACATTTTCATTTTATTTATTTATTTATTTATTTATTTATTTAGAGACAGGGACTTGCTCAATGGCTACGCAGGCCAGGCTGGGCTCCAACTTGCAGTCTTCCTGCCTGTCTCCCAGAGTGTTGGGATTATGGGTGTGTACCACTATGAGCAGCCAATCTCCATAATACTAAACCTGATTATTCTCAGGTTTGATTTTGTTTGTTTGGGGCAGTAATTCATCATGGCTGGTGTTGAGCTCTTGCTGTTATAACACATCAGAGGCATGGAATGTCTACTTGTTCCTTTTTCAATAAGGCTAAAATTGATCTGGATTTAGATGTTATCAGACTAAGCCATCCAATGAAATGTTTCCCATTAACTCTGCCCTAATAATTTCAGCAGCCCAGATCCATTACTTGGTGTTCAGTAGAAACACAGTGCTGCCCCAAGCCCATCATGCCTCTGGCACTTGGTAATGAGTCCTGCCCGAAGAACATTCCCTTCAGATTAATGTGCTAACAAAGATGTCAGGATAAGTAGCCCCTTTTTCCCATGAGCAATTTTTAAAATATTGAGTCAGTGTCCTAGTAACTGCCAAAGCCGACCACTCAGTTTAATAGTATTATGATCTCATGGGTTTTATATGTTTATTTCAAACCATCATTCTTTCTGTCACTCAGACTGTCCCACTCTGGCCACAGAGATCCCTTCAAGTCGGCTGCTGGGCCCTGCTCTGCCACCTTTTCTCGTTGCTTGGCTGTTGGCTGACACAAGATGTTCCGCACCTGTCCTTTCCCCCGTTAGTGGGGCAGCCTGGGTGCTAGAAGCCCTCAGGACAGAGACAAATGTTTCTGCCCATCAGCCCCTGTCCTGTGGTAACATGGACAGTGGACCAGTCCACACCAAAGCATCAGCATATACAGCTGTCTCACTGCAACCACCAAGTAAAATTTTTTCTAGGAAATAAAGTCAAAAGCACAATGCGCATAACTTAGCGAGGATCAAAGACTGAAATGGATTTTTAAAAAAGAATATTTAGCACCCACTGCATTTTCACTGACTTTCACTGCTGGTTCGATCTTGACAAAATTACATACAGCTCACCCTGAGGTAACACTTACTTTATAAAGCATTATGACAGCAGTTTGCAAATAAAGCAAACTCAGCAGGAGAGTAAGTTTCCATAGCATGTGGGTACATCCTTTTCTGGAATTACTGGGCACATCTGTGGCCAGAAATCCTGTTTACTAAGTGAACCTAGGGGCTTCCCCCCAAGCTCTGGGACCCAGCTTCCCACACTGACCTTCAACAGCGGATAATTATGAGACACGCGTGAGCACCACACAAAGGGACAAGGACATTACCTGGATCATCAGAGCCACTTCGCTCGCCTGAATGTGGCTGACTAAGAACCCAAAGCCCTTGTTCTCGGGTGGAGAAATCAAAGCTCCGCCTCACTCTGCCCTCCGGCAAAGCAACTGGCCTGAGGGTCAAACAAAGGGCCGCTCATCCACACTGGGCTTCAGAAGTTTGCCTTTTCCTTGCTGGGAGAGGGAATGCTGAGAGCAGAGCACCCAGTCTTTGTGGCCATCCATCCACAGGGCTAGGATCTTACACTTCACTTCCGGGAAACTACAAATTCCCCAACAAACCATTTTAAAAAAGCAATAACCCAAGGCGTGAAGCATTATTTGTTCTAGTTCACTGTTTTTTATTTACTGAACCCATCTTTCTCCCAGAGAAGCAGAGGTAACAAAACAGAAGGCAGACGCCTTGCTGGGGACAGTCCCATTCTGTTTTCTCCTGTAGAGGGTTTTCACAGCAGTCTTTACCACAGGGAGAGTGTTCACAATTTCAAAGTTTTCCTCATTCCAAACCTGCAAAAAAGTGCTATGCTTGATGGTAGTTACTGTCAAATAGTTCAATCAACATTGTAGAATTTCTGGAATATAACTTCAAGTATGTTAATGGTTTAATTCACACAGTACTCGATAAGTAACAGACCTAGTGCTAGCTCATTTCATATTTTAGTGGCAAAAATGTAATCCAGTTTTAGCACCCATGTACAAGAGTTAAATTTCAAGAAAACATGAGATGACTTGGTTTCTGAAAGGTCACTGTGCCGCGTCCCCATCGGGGAGGAGACCTGCCACTGGTTCTGGAAAAGATAACTGCTGAGTGGGAGAAGAAAGAGGAGCCGCTATGGTGAAGGCTTCTGAGAATTACAGTCGTCGTATTTTCTTAGAAATGCAGGCCTACATCATACACAGATGGTTCCAAGGAGCTGTGCTGCTGCAGGGTTGTAGGTCAGGACAGATCACAATGAAAGTGCTGAACTCGGGCACCAAATGGAGGGAACCCTAATAGTGAGGCCGGGGCTGACTCTGCCTGTTAACTCAAGGCCTCGCTTGTCACTCCATTTCAGCAATGACGTGTTTTCAACGGCTGACAATTTTCCACAGAAAAGTTCCTCTGGATTAACTGTATCAGTTACAAGACATGGTAAATACATGCAAAGAAAATAAAGTGCACCTTTGCAGGGTGTAACACAATCGACCCAGAAATCATTTCTTTAAATTGGCAAGATACACTGCAATATGAAAAGTACTTGGCTAGCAGAGTCAGGTAAAGTGGAAAAACAATCCTGCTAAAAAAGTACAATTTTTCAGTGTATCAGAGGGGCAAACAACTTTTTATTTAAAGTTACTAAATTTGGAGACTTGTGTATTTCAGCTGTGTGCAGAAGAAAGAAAATCCATTCTTCTAGAAGGCACGAAGTGGTTCGAGTATGCAAGCGACTCCCTAACAGGACATACGTGCAAAGTGTGGGCAGAGCTGGCCGGTGGTGCGGCCTGGCCCGCATCCACGCTGGTTCTCGCTGAGGCGGCCCGCCCGCCAGGCGCAGGCTCGGCTCAGTCCACCGAGCTGCAGATCTCCTTCACCTTCTGGTTGAACTCCTCGGGCTGATCCGCGTACACGTAGTGCCCCGCGCCGAGGATGGCCTGGCAGGGACAGGGCCATCAGTGAGAGACTGAGGAGGCCCTGAGTACCCTCACCACATTCAAATGAGCCCCAGGACGAGGGCTGCAAGACGGACCTACACAACCCTGAGGGACTCCTGGCAGGAAGACCGACCGCACCTCAACGCCCTCTCCGGTGAGGCTCGACGGGGCACCCCATCCCGCAGCGGCCCTGACCGAGGCTGAGGGGTGCGGAGGAGAACTTCCGGGGTCACCCCTGCCACCCCACGCACTTACTATGGTCTTCACGTAGGACTGCGGCCGCAGAGACTGGATGCTGCTGCCGGAGTTGCCGTCTATGCAGGAGCGGGCGCCGAAGATCACCGTCACGGGCACGTCGGGGTGCAGCTTGCCGATGCGCAGGAGCATCGGCCTCTTCGCCCAGCCGTAAGGGATGGTCATGTTCTTGAAGGCGGTCTCGCCACTTTGCAGGGAGAAAGGCACACAAGCGTGACCCTGGAGGATGAGGGCCACACTGTCTCTCACTCTCAAAACATGCCCTACTCGGCTCCTCTTGGAAAGAAAATCACCTAGGAGACAGCAGGAGGCTGTGCATACTTTAGCTGATGAAAAGTTATCTTCTAAACCAAAATACGCAACTGTAATTCTCTTATTCAACTATCAGGTTATTGCTTGCGAGGATAGTTCCATGTGTTTTCAAACGGATGCAAGGGCAACCTCCAGGGCTCAGGGCGCCAGCTGTCAAGGTGATCAAGGTAAAAGCGGCCCAGACTCATGGTGGCGCACATCCCAGGAGGGGCCATCCTGCGGTCCTTTCTGTCTCTCTTGAAGGACAAGGCCTCATTCAGAACGGCCTCTTAGGAACAACCTGGGTCTCAGCACAAGAAAGGCAACAAATCAGGACCCATAGGCGTGGGTACTGAGGACGGGGAGGAAGCGCAGACTACAGACCCATGCTGCAGGACCAGACTAGGGTTCTGTGCAGCCTGAGATCTGCGGGCAAAGCCGTGGGCAAGCAGCCAATCCAACAGCACCAGCTGCAAGTGAGTCCCAAACCTCCACGCCCTGAGGCTCCCGGGCCCCCAGCCTTGCTCCGCACCCAAAGCAGAGAACATCCAACCCACTGCACCTAAAAGGCGGTAACTTGCATGTCTTGGTCTGCTCCTCAAGCAGGTGAGCAGTTTCCACAGAAAGCCAGGGAGAGAACAGACACGAAGCCCATCTGTGCCCAGGTCTCCGTCTGGGAGGAAGCAGGGTCTGAGATGCGGACCCTGGCCCAGCCTACACTACAATCACCCGAAGTGTGTGCCAGAGCTAGCGTCCGAGCTTTGGGCTCCCTGGGGAACTGCAGGGTCTGGCTTGGCTGCAACACACTCCTCATGCCTGACCCGCTCATGCAGGGCCTGCAGCTGTGCCTCCCACGCTGGGCACAGAGCAAAGGGCTGGCAGGGCAGCCTCAGCCTGGGGGAGGAAAGCTGCTCGAGGGCCCAGGGCCCAGAGACCACTCCCTTGCCTCCTCTACACCCCCCTGCTGGGGAGCACTCACACTGCTGGGAGACACGGCTTCTGCTCTGAGATTCCTAAAACAAGACTTCCTCACCTTTCCCACAAGCACTGCAGGGGAAGGAAGCACACCCCACCACTCTCTACCCATCAGAACCCAGGGCAGTGATTGTTCAGTGGGCACTCTGAACAGGTGAGTAACTAAGAAGACTTGGACAGGCTGGGTATGGCACACACCTGTAACCCCAGCTACTAGGAAGGCTGAGGCAGAAGGATCACAGGTTCAAGGCTGGCCTAGGCAAGTTAGTGAGCCCTTGTCTCAAAAAATAAAAAAGGGCTGGGGATGTAGGATGCCTAACATGCATAGGGCCCTGAGTTAAAAAAAAAAAAAAAAGCACCATTAGACATTTACCCTCTTTATTTAACTACTGATACCAATCTGGGCTACTAATGTATTCTCAAAAAAGAAACGTTTAAAACAAAAGATGCAGGTCTGGGTGGGCGGCTCACCTGGGGGTCTGCACGTTGCAGTGGTAGATGTACTCCGCCACGGTGTCGTCCTCAAACATCGAGGAGTACTTCCGCTTGAAATCAGGCCTCAGCCGCTGCACTAGGCTCAGACCTGTTCAACAGCAAATACAAACACGCAAGTCTCGAGTTACAGTTAGCTGCTGGACTAACACCACTGTGAGCTCAGCGTTATGCCCACGCGTTCACGTCTGTGTTTTGCGGGGAAGAAAGCCCACTCCGGAAGCTGCTCTCAAGATCCCAAAGGAATGAGGGAACCGGAAGTGAAGAATGCTGTAGACTGACTTACAGTGTGCGTCAGGAGCTCAGAAAGCTCCGTTAGTTTCCCAAGACTTTGTTTTAGGGAAACAGCCTTTAAACAGTGACTAGGACAGGCTACCCACAAAATGATCACCATCACTTGTTTCCTGCCCACAATTACAGCACATCAGCTTTCTAAGCGAAGCAAATTGGGGTTCATAAATACTTCTGCGGGAGAATAACTGAGTTTCTGTCCGGGACACCAGCACCTGCAGCTCACCCCAAGACCCCACACCCACTCGAGGGGGCGGCAGGACGGGCTGAAGGAAAGAAGACTAAGTGCGTTCACTGCGGGGCCAGGCCCGCCGCTCCAGCAAGGTTCAACTACACACACACACACACACACACACACACACACACACACACACACACCCTGAGGAGATCGCTGCTCCACCGAGAGGTCTGGGTGCTGCACATCTGTCACCCCCAGTGACACAGTGACAGCGGGTGGACTCACCGAGTCTCCAACCCAGCCTCCTCTGTCTCAGTACCTTGCTCCCCCGAGCCCACTCATGTCTCAGGACTGTAGAGCTGGCTCTTAAGCAGCTCCCCAAGGAGGCACAGGCTCGGGGCAGGGGAAGCTGGGCAGGGAGAAGGGACAGGAGCCAGACCCTCACAGAGCCGTGGTGCCCACCCCACCCAGCCTCTGCCCCTGCCCGGTTCTGGCCAACAAAGCCCAGCTTCCCTGCACCATCGGCAGGCAGCAGCTGGCCTCCCCAGGCCCAGAACGACCCCCGAGTGTCAGTCCCAGATCTGCTCAGTGAGGGACATATAAGGGCGTGGGGTAAGGACCTTGGGAAGGGGGCCTTTTCTCTGCTTTCCTTTCTTCCAGGTCTAGATACTGCTTTGTGAGGGGAGCCTGATGCCATGGCAACCATCCAGCAGCCATGATGGAATGGGTCAAGAAGGTCACGGACGCGGACCCAGCCCCGGCTCAGAGAGCTGCCCGCTGGGACCACCGCTGGAGCCCCGAGCTCCAGACTGCTCCATGAGGAGATGACAGCAGGCAGGGGAAGCCACCACTCAGGCCTCCAGTGCCTGCAGCCAGGCCACTCCTCGCTGACACAACCCAGATGGGGAGGGAATTCCCATGCCCCAAACCCTGGCACCTCAAGTACGATGAGAAGTCCACACACGTCCGGAGTGCCCAAAGCCCTGTGGGGAGGGTGGCTTTCCCTTCCCACCACACCGTCATGCTGCAAAAAGGAAGCACTCTCAGGGTGGCGACACCTGTTCACCAGGGTTCACACTTGGTTTGTCCACCTGTCCACCATCACCCCCAGATGCTCCTGAATGGCACCAACAGGGCACCACAGGACCCTTCTCCCCGTGCCCTGGGCCTGCCTGAGACGCACGGCCTGCCTGGCTCTTCGCAGAATCCTCAAGACTGACATGCCTCGCCTCAGCACTTCCAGCTTCTCTGTGGAGCCAGACTCCCATCAGACAGCTGGTTTGTTCACCTCTGGGCCTGGGCTGGGACTCACTTATTGGAGGAGGATGAGACAGAGCAAGGGCACAGGGTTTCTTTAAAACAATTCTGACTAACAGTGGTGATTGGCAGATGCAGCATGGTTTTAGCTTTGTGACGACGGCGTGGAGCGACCCGCGGTCAGCAAACCCTGTACTTAGGTTGCATCTCCCACTGGGCTGTGATTCTCATGACGCTGGGCAGTGATGCACAGTTCCCCATCGGCCTTGTGACCATGAAGCCGACAACACTCTCCTCTCTGGGTGCCGTGTTGCTAAGCTATGGTGTCCAGCAGCTTTCCAGGTGCGCTTCTACTTAGTATGCAGTCCTGTGCAGACCAGGGCGCCTGCCTCTCAGACTCCTCGCTGTACACACTTCCTTCCCTAGGCTGTGGCACTCACCAAAGGGTCCTGCGATCCTGAGGCCAGCTAGGGGGTTAAAGGGGGTCAGCGCTGCTCCCAAGGCTCGGATCCAAACCGGAATGGGTCTGTCCTGGTCAGCGAGGTCCGGGCGCTCGGGAAAACCCCAGGGTTCCACCAGAATGAGATGACTGACCCTGTTGGGAGGAGCAGATTTACGTTCGTTTGGTAAGTTCACCTGAACACTACAAAAAGTAAGAGCTTTAACAAATAAAGGCGGAATGAGCCACCTTCCAAAACATTTGTTAAAGAGAAGACGAAGTGCTCAACGGCTTATGCCATGCTCGCTCTGTGAAATGTTTTGAGACCCAGTAGGGTTGAGAGCTGTACAGTAGACAGAGGTCGTTATTTTTGATATATTTAACTGCGGATAACAAAAGAGGTGTGCAAGTCGGGTATGTAACTGTTTCTTCAGAAAACAAAAGTTGTCTTTTGCTTAAGCCACATTCTGGCAGGTGGTACAGATTACTAACCACTCAGAAAAAGCCCAATGGCTCCATGAATGTCAGGGTTCAAACTGAAGAAATGAGTGAAGATCGAGCGTCACACTAATAAAACAGTCTTGTCTACCACCAACAATCTCTTATAAATCAATCGTTCTAAAAATGCGAGAGAGGTCAGGACTTAAAGTGGCTCAAAGGGGCTTCAAATGAGCCTCTCCACAAGCAGGAATAATGACTCCAGAAGCAGGCTGGAAACACACCCTGCAGTGGGGGTGGGGTCTGATGAGATGGGACCCCACCTCCCCAGGACGACATCACCCCACAGGCTCCCACTCCTTTCCCAGAGACTTTTCTTCCTGACCAAACACTCATTCCAACTTCATATAAAATGATCTCTTATCATTAACACTTTTAATTTTTCCATCTTATGAGACTTGTTCTAGATGAAGAACCCAGACCTACAAAAGTGCTGGATGGAGCTTTTACACATCCCAGAGATCCCTCGCAGACCACCAAGGCCCTCCTGCTACAATGCAGCATTAGGTAACCAGACCCGCCACACACGCCAGCCGACGTTGCTCCAGGACGAACTGACGATGATTCCCAAGTCCTTTTGCTATGTTGTAACGGAGTCAGAAAGGTAAAGAATGGGGTGTGTGCTGGTGGTATCACTGCTTGTGCTCAACAGGTGTATTATTTCTGTCAGCACATGTACGGCTGAGTTAATAATGAGAGTTGTTTTTGACTTTGCATTTTTGAAAGAGAACGCTTCCGAGCACAGAGCTCTACTGGCCTGGAGAGCACCTGGCACAGCCTTCCCTCGTGGATGGGAAGGGAGCTGAGACTCTCTCCAACGTGTGACAGATGCCAGTGGGCCACAGAGTGGGCCTCTCACCCAAACCCATCCTAGCGACAGAGCGGCAAAGCACACCTGAGCAGCTCTCAGCCAGCACTCACCCTGTGCTCTGGACTGCAAAGCACTGAGACATCGAGGGGAGACGTGTGACAGAGGCAATTCCATGTACTTAGTGGCTTCACAGCCTAAAAACGTCTTGGAGAGTATTTGCTAAGACTGTACAGGAAAGAGACGGAAAAGGGGTTTTTCTGGCTTTGAATGGCAAATGCCAATAAAACACAGACTGTCTTGGTATGGGGTTCTGAGCAGCAGGACAGAAGGAAAGAAAATTTGAGGAAAAAAGCACTGAGCACAGAGCTGGAAGAAAACTGACAGCGCCCGTGTCTGTCCCTGCAGCCTGTGTCCTCTGCCTTATGAGGCCAGTTTTACAGCTGAGGCTGTCCTGGGAGGTAGGACGGGCACACCTCCCTGAGTCACCACTGGCCAGGGCACAGTGTCTCTGCCCTCATCGGCCTTCCCAGCACGGCCAGGCTCCCGCCCAGCGTGGGGCCGTCGGGGTTTCTGCTGGGTAACCTTCCCACCCTTTGAGACCACAGCCCAAGCGGCACACCCTAGGGCACCATCGCTAGGCATCCGGGTCGCTCCTCATCAAGAGGCCTCTAGCTCCACCTCCTCCCCAGACAGCCTCCACCTGCACATCTCTCTGAAATGCAAAGATTCTTTTAAATCTCACGAAAGCAGAATAAAAATGCCAGCCCCGTCAAGAGAACGCTGGACGCGACATTAAGTGTAGGTGCTGTACACTCGCTCAGGTGCCTTGCTCACCACGCCGGAGAAGCACCGTGTGCCACAGAAGCCTCCGCAGGCTGCTGAGACGCCCCAGAGGGCCGCAGGGGAGTGCTGGCCCGAAGAGGGCCGAGGGCCACACTGCCCCGAGTGCGGGTCCCCCACAGCACCCCCACACACGTCAGCCGTGACCATGGCTGGGACAGCTGAAAACCTAGAGAACCCAGCCGTGCTGAAATTCACTCGTGTTTAATAATTTTGGTTTTATGTAACCAAGTCCAAGCAAATAAAACCACACTGACTTTGCTTCTCCCTCCACTGACATTGGACCACAGGCGGAGAGGCGGGCAGGCTAGGAATACAGGGTGAGTGCCCCGCACACTGTAGAGCGCACGCAGTATGTTGGTGGTGAGGAGAGGAATTCATAGCGCGAGTTATCCAAGCCTTCTCCTGCCCACCTCTCTCCTGCCTGGTGCCCCGGTGCTGACACGGTCCTCCAGGGTTACCTCTAGTTTCAGGTACAAACGCTGGCAACCATTGTCTAAACTGCCGTCAGTGCGGTGAGGAACGCTACTCAGTTAGATCCTTTCTGCTGTTGTCTTTCATAGACCCCAGGAGCCCCCATCTCTTCAGAGCATTCAGTCTTCCCACCTGCCATCATCAGCAGATGGCCAGGAAGGGCCAGGCTGCCAGGACTTCGGGCCCCATCTCCCCAGAAGCCACCGACGTCGGCGTTACAGGGCGGACATAGCAAACCCGACGCAGACGGCAACCCACGAAAGCAGCTCTCGTGAACGAACGGCTCTGCTGCCTCTCCCCAGAACATAGCCACTTCCTTTTCCTCCTTCTCACACACAGCTAGGTGTCTGTCATCAAAAGCAAGGCACAATGAGTGAGGGTAATCTCTGAAGTGCCAACCAGGAGGAGACTCTGAGTTTCCTTTGGAAGAACAGGTCTGTTGGTTGACAAGACAACTGCTGCCTAGCTCATCATCAACTACTCTCTCCCCAGAAAAACCAGGTAAGGATGCTGAAGTTCAGGTAATGTCCCCACGGAGGAACAGTGGCTGGGCCACAGGAAGAAGCCTTCCGGACCCAGGGCTGCTGCACCACGGCCAAGCGTGGTACAGAGTACACGCTGGAGTCAGAGGCACACAGAGAACGACGCCACCCATGGCTGCTCAGCCCTCAGCATCAACATCCCTGCAGCGCTGCACTGAAAATGAGGCCAGTGGAAAAACACCCCAGCAACACAGAGATGCCGACGTTCTTTTTTTATTTTCTTTCCCAAAAAATAAGTAAAACAAAGATGAGTTTTTCTTCTATTTTCTTCACAATCAGCTGTGAGCCCCTCTCCAAGCAGCAGCATGAATAACAGGAAAGAGTATTTTTAAAAAGGTAAGGGCAGAGGGTAATGCTAGAAAAATTTTGAAACAAACATTAACTCAATGACCGAAAAGCGTTCCACAGCGAGAAGGTTAGGGAACAGTATAATCAAAACCCCGGGAGGAGCTGGCCCAGGGATGCACCGGTAATCCCAGCTACTCGCAAGGGTGGGGCAGGAAGACCAAAGCTCAAGGTCAGCCAGGGCCACTTAGCAAGACCCTGTCTCAAAACAAAAAAGGGGTTCTGGGGATGTAGCTCGGTGGTAGGGCCCTTGCCTGGCATGTGCAAGGCCATGGGTTTAGTCTCCAATAGACAAACAAAACAAGGGCCAGGGATTTAGCTCAGTGGTTCCACCGCCTGCCTCCCAAGCACAAGGACCTGAGTTCGATCCAGGTACCAAAAAAAAACCAAAACAAAACAAAGAAAAACAAAACACAAAACACCTGGAAGATGACAGACTCTGAAGGAACTGGTTAGAGAGATTCCACAATGTACTCTAAGTCACAAAGACAGCACTAGTGCCTACATCAACCATGGCGAACCTTTCAGAGTGTTCAATGACACAAACAGCATGCTGCGGCACCACTGGGCTGGGCTGTCTAACTTCTAACCTTCTGTTTCCAAAACAGCTTACTACTACTTAGAAAAGGTAGGAAAGAAAAGCCTACCGGACAAACAGGCTTAATATGATAACAACAATAAACAATACCACAATAATTTTTTTTTTTTGGTACCAGGGATCGAACTTGGAACCTTTTACTTATGAGGCAGGCGGTGGAACCACTGAGCTAAATCCCTGGCCACCACGATAATTTTTATTTGTAGTTTTAAATTATGCACTAAATTTCATGCAATTCTAAATAACAAATATACAGTCCTTTATCAAACTTATCAACATGCAGCAGTTTAACAGGAAAATCTGGTACCATTATGTCAGCTAGGAAACTGGCCATCAGTCACGGGCTCCTGGTCTACAGGGTTCCTCAAGAGAGTGACTGTCCCAGAAGGCCCAGTCTCGAGTAACCACCAAATGTGGAAACCAGAGCGGGGTGCCACAGCCACAGTTCCCCTCCCGCCACCATCACTTACCTCAACGGGTACTTCAGCGCATAAGCAGCGGCCAAGAAGCCCCCCAGGTTGTGTCCGAGCAAGATCATCCTCTCCAGCCCCAGCGCACACCTCCACTCTTCGACGGACTCCACAAACTGATTCTCCGCTTCCTCCGCGTCACTGTCAAACCTGGGTCTACTGCTCCGTCCAAAGCCCAACAAGTCAAAAGCATAGACGGGCCTGTCAGCAGAAAGAGCTCCAAAATTCAGTGCCCACAGTCCAAGGCCACCTCCAAAGCCATGGAGGAGGATAAGCGGAGTCTTATTTGAAATATCCTGAGAGAACTTCAGGGTCCATATTTTATTTCCATTAGATACAAGAACACGTTCTTTTTGGTAAGTGCAGGGGACACCTAATAATACAGAAGAGAAATTCTGCTTAGCTTTATTACTTCTGGGCAAAGTATTCTCAAAACAACCAAAAAGTAATGATCTAAAGAGCACATGGTATCCAGTCATATGATTTTACAGGAAGATAAGGCAGGAACTAGTCAGCATGAGGCGCCAGGCAGCCCGAATTCAAGTCCACAATCAGCCAGGAAATGCAGATAATCACAATCTTGTAGGTAAAAATTCTTAACTTGCATTTAATGCCATCTGTCTAAATATGCAGTACCCCAAATTACCTAAAGATGCAAGGAAATTTGAAATTTTTTATCATTAATGTATCAACTGAATAACTAAACTTTGGGTATAGCCCTTAATTATCTGTATATGTTCACCTGCAGAACCAGTTGTTTCTGCCTTTAAATCAAAGAATTGATTTTACTTTTTGTATTTACACAGAGGAAACCAGCAGTTGCTCAGAATATTAACAATCCTATGTCCCTACATGGGGAGGAGCTCAGGGTCTGGAACCAGAAGTGAGTGGGCATTAGTGCCAAGCCAATCACTTCAGCATGTGAGCCCAGGAGCCTGCATATTCCCATGAAAATGATCCACAGCACTGACGAGAGGGCTCACCTACTGCATTACCAGCTACCCTACGGGGTCTCTGCTTTCCTGTCTGACACCGGAGCAGGGGCCAGTTCTCACTCTCATCTCATCCCCAGTTCGCAGGGGTAGGGAACCAACATTCGCTTAAATGCATGAAGTGAGCATCTACACCCTTTCTCGCCTCCTGACAAGAATGTCTATTATTTTTGGTAAACAACATTAACAAGTTTGTCAGTTTTGTGGAGAACAACATTAGCCAGGTATAGGGAGCGAGGAGAAATTCATTTTCATATTAAATCTCAAAGTCAGATGGCTAATTATCCCTTCCTAAGTACATACCTAGTTATGGTCACTTACTCCTGAATCATCACAGGTACAAACAAGAACATTCATTTACGGGAAAGAGGATAAAAACAGGTGTGAACAAACATCTTCACATGCAAAATAATCAGGTAAACAGACTGCACTACTCAATCCATGCCTCTGAATTATATGAGCAGGACAAAACTGGACACTAAACACCACTGCTTAGAACCATACCCACAGATACCTGTGAATGCCCTGCCAGAAGTTTGGATAGGTTTCAGTGCCCAAAAGAAATTTTAATAAAAGAAGGTCTCCACATCAATTTAAATGTACGATTAAAGAATCCTAAAATGTGACAGCCAGATAGAATCCCAAGGATCATCCTACTCCTCTATCTTACAGGTAAGAACCAGGAATCTGAGATCCTGTAACCACCTGGTAGAGGATCTGGACCTAAGCCAGTTACCTGGTTTTAGTCCAGCACCTGCTCTACTATGCAAGGCCCCGGGATTCCTAGACTCTGTTCTCAGAGTACATAGTGTGGGGACACTGTGTGTGTGTGTGTGTGTGTGTGTGTGTTCCTTGAGATCTTTTGAGGAGTACATAGTGTGGGGACACTGTGTGTGTGTGTGTGTGTGTGTGTGTGTGTGTGTGTGTGTGTGTGTGTGTGTGGTCCTTGAGATCTTTTGAGGCCAAAACTGTTCTTATAACAGTACTAGAACTTTATTTTCCTTCCCACTCTTATCCTCTGTTGAGTGTACAGTGGAGTTTTCCACGTATCACATGATAGATATGTGGTTATCCAAGAGACTGAAAGTGGAAACAGATGTGAGAACTCACCTGACTTACATTAAGCCAGACACTAAAAAGATCTGCAAACATGTAAACAATGCTCTTCTCATTACATTTTGTTTGGAGAGTAGCTATATATTTTTTTTTATACGCATGCTATTTAAAATAAATACTAGGTTAAAATAACCTAGAGTGGGTCTTTTACTATTATTTTCAAATAAATTAATATATTAACATATTTTCAGTTATGCAATTTTAACTTCCAACATGGTAAATACTGATAAATATAACTCATAAACAAAGCTCCTTAGGGTCCTTCCTAATTTAAGAGTTTAACAGTGACCTAAGAATAAAAAGGTTGAGAATCACTACCCCATCCACATGTTGCCACCTGTTGTGACACCAAAGAGGAAAACATTCCTCTGTCATAACTAACAGGCCACAGAATCTTATCTCTAGTTTCAGGGCAAGGTGACACAGTGGATCTATTTTAGCAAACAGTCCAGATAACTGAGGAGAAGAAAGCCTTACATTTTAGCATTTTCTCTTCAGCTTCTTTAAGGAGCAGTGGAGATGTAGGGCACCAGGTGGGAAGCCAACCCGATAGCCATCCTGACCTAGAGCACAAACACAAAATGCAAAAGGTGAGTCAAAACTTCCAACTGGTATGTGTCAGCATCAGAAGAAAAGCAGCAGAGGAACCTGGCATCTGGGTGCTGGTTGGAACTGGTGACAAAGGTCACCCCTGAGGCCAAAGCCTCCTGACAGGTGCTGGGAGAGACCCATAGCCTGCATACCTACACATGGATGTCAGAGTCCACCTGTGCGTATGGGGAGTCAGAGGCTAGACATGAAGAACACAAGGCATCCCCAGGGCAGGACGCTTCTTCCCAGGGTACAAGTGCAAAAAAGTGAACAATCCCAGGCAGGTTCATCTGAATGGAGACTGCACGGCGAGTGTGAGATATGCGCCATGGGTGTAGAGAGAACTGAACCCTCATTACAAATTTCAATAAAAAAGCTTCAAATGCGGTGAGAAGTAGTAACATATCTCTAACAATCTGAACTGGTTAACTGCTAACAGAAAAACAAAGCGGCTTCAGGTTCCAGCACAGCAGGGGAAGAGAATGGCCCGGACAGTGACCCAGAGAAGAGAGGCCACAGGTCTGGGTGTCAGGCAGGGACAGCTTGGGAGCCTGGCACTGAGGGACCTCACACAGCCAGCAGGGCGGGCACGAGCCTGCAGACCAAAGGCTCACTGAGGGCCGGGGATTTAGCTCAGTGGTGCTGCCGCCTGCCTCACAAGCGCAAGGTCCCGAGTTCGATCACCGGTACCAAAAACAAAAAAACAAACAAACAAAACCCCAAAGGCTCACTGAAATAACCTGGGCCCACATAAGGCTTCAACGGCCAGCTGGCAGTCGGCGCTGGGGGCTACGTGGTGGGAGTGGTTAAAGTAAGAACTTGCTGGTGAAAGAAAAATGAATTAGAAGAGAAAAAGTGGCCAACCGGTACAGACTCCAGATCAGAGGTAAGGGCTTGAACTGACATTGGCAACGGCAACAGAGACAAGCAGACGTGGCCAGGAACACGTCCGTGCACGCCGGGCTGGGTCTGGTAACTAACTGGGTGGACAGAAAGAAGGTCTAACAATAAGGGCTCTCACGCCTGTGTCTTGGGGTGCTCCGATAATGACAGCAAACACCAATGAGGATCACTGAGAGAAGAGAACCCTGCTACGTTGCAGAAGGTCCCCAGCAGTGGCTTCTGAGCTGTGTAGGGTCGCCCTACAGGTCTTCCTTTCCCTGTAGTTTTTCTCTGGGGTTAGAGAATGTTTGCCGAATGATTAAGTCATTGACCATACAGCCCAGGGATTCACAGTCTAGATCTCCACTTCACCGATGGGAAAGCTGAGGTTCGGAACGTGAAGCACCAGGTCCAAGGACCCATGGCCAGGAAGTGACACCAGACAGGAACTTGGAGTTGCATTCGGCGCACCAGAGCCTTGGTTCTCGGCGGCTGAGGAGGTGCCCGCCACGCTCACAGCACACACTCCTCAGCGGGCACAAGGGCCCTTGCACCCTGCCCAGCCTACTCCCCAGCTCTCTCGGCACTCCACGCTTTCTTGGTGTTGCAGGTCTCCATGGCTCTGCCCACCTCGTCCTCTGCCCAGAATGCCTCATGCTTCCAAGACACAAGCCCTGACTCGGAAGCCGAGGGCGAGTCTCACCCTTGTGACACATTACATTATCTAGGAAAAAGAACTCCAGGCTTCAGCAATTCATTTTCCATTCATTCTGCAAGTTTTTGATTGCTGAGAAAAGTGCTTAACAGGCAATTAAAATAAAAGAATCTCAGTATTCTTAGAGTTTTTACAAAATAAACATTCACTTAGTAGAAGCTCTTTCGTCCTTGACAGGCATCGGGTCTCACTCGGACAATAAAAATATGACCTAGTACCAGCAGGCATTACTTATAACTCAATCCCATCCATTTTCCTAAGCAAATATCCCTCAAATCGTGGCACAGTTCTTTGCCAGACAGAACCAGAGGTCAGTGCCAAAAAAATAATGAAGTGAAATGAACTGTAATCTACTTAATCTACTATTGCTCCAAATGATATGAGAGACAAGCTGAGATAAAGGAAACACAAATGCAATCTCTGTTTCAGTCTTTTAAGAAAAACATTGTATGAAAAAAGTAGTTCAGGCTCTGAATGCCCACTATGTAAAAGGCACTAGAGTTTAAGCAGTTATAGCCAGCTCACAGTACAGGAACTGTGCCTATCTCCAGAGTGGTACCACTATGTCAAGACCGTCCTACCAAGGGCTGGCTGGCTGTCCTTCGATTCTGCCTCCCGATGACCAGCTTGGCTCAGTCTGCCAGTCTAGAGCATGACACCAAGAACTAGGGCTCTTCTGTCACAAGAAGCACCAACCTACTTCCCGGTTTCACAGCAGCCTTTCCATCAAAGCAAACAGTATTTTTCCAAGTCAGATTTTTCTAAAGCGTATTTGAGCCAAAAAAAAAAAAAAAAATCTGTACTTAACAAAACACAGTAAAATATTTTCATTCTTACCAGATCTGTAAAGATAACACATTTCTCCTAAGCCCTGACAATGTTTCTGTCCAGGTGTACTTTACAATGAGGATAACATGTTTTGTAGAAAGTGTCTTCTACTTGCGGCTTAGGGCTGCTTGCAGGATTGATTGCTACACTAAAAAGGCTCAAGGGAACATTTCCAAAGAACGAAAAGCAAAATCCTCTTTAGTTAAATCCCTTTAGTTGATTGCCCTTTGTTCTGGAGTTTCCACACCTTATCTTGCCACCTCTATTGCTTCAAACCCTGAAACTTACCCATCCCTCCCTGTGCCCGGTCTTCGGGGTAATCAACCACACCTTCTGAGAGATCACTGACCCTTCCACGCTCTTCTAGACATAGGATGTGCCAGGCTAGGACTTAAGAGGTCACAGAATTTAAGGTAAATATTCACATGGCCTAGCTATTAACAGTAAACTGGACACAGGCCTGCCTCCTCACAGCGCTGGAAAATAAACAGAAAAGCAAAGGCTAACTTCTCTATTTAAGCATATAATCAATAAGGACTACATCTACTGTGAGACCCAGACTTCAGAAGAGACCAGAGGACTGCAACACAAAAAAAGGGAGAAGGAGAGAGAAGAGGAGGAGAAGGAAGAGGAGGAGGAAGAAGAGGAGGAAGGAAAAGAACAGGAAGAAGGAGAAGAAGAAAGACATTCATCACTGGGACCGTCATTTTCCCAAAGTAACAGCCTGTAAAACTAGGAAGGCTAGTTTTACCAATGCACACTGGAGGCTTCTCTACATGGCTCCATCAGCTGGGCACTGACCTCATTAGCAAGGCAGAGGATCCAAGCCTAAGCATCTAATCAAAGAACCAAATAAAAGGTTTCTTGTTCTGTAATCACTGCTGTGGAAATGGAAAATTTTGGTGAGCAGACTTCTAAGTAAGGAAAGCTTTACAAGACCAGAGTAGAAGGGACAAGCATAAAGAAAGCCAAGAAGGACTGAATATATCAGCAGAGCATATTTATCTAAGAATCTGATTTTTTAAACTTTTTAAAATTAATGAATTGTTTTTGTGATACTAGGAAAACACTAAGTTACAGTCCCAGCACTGAATCTGATTTTAAGTGTCCTGAGTTTGAGAGGTGGACACTAATTTTCTTCCTTTAACATTCTACCTAATGTCTTTTTTTTTTTCCTCAGTATCATTAATATTGTACTTGTAACCCATGCCACAAACATTTACACTTCCTGGTAAATCTGTTTTCTTTTCTGAGACATTTGAGTATCTATAGTATTACTAAACCTGGATTACACAATCTATAAATATTGTGAAATAGTGAAAGAGGTTTCAAAGTATTCTGAAGAAAATATACAGAATTCTAGCCAATTTCTACATACCCTTGGCCACTTAAAGTAACATTTCTAATTAGGTTATAAGTAAGGAGAAATTCAATATATTAGAATTGTGATTAAAATAGTCTCCATCACTATCCTGCCACAGTCAAGAGGGAAAAAATCATGTTTATTATCATTTTCTATAAACTAATCTAAGCACAGTATTCAATCTCATTTTAAAAAACCATTTAGATTTAATTTTTATTGTAAAGACCCAAATTAATTAGAGGTATGAATATATGTACTCCTCTGAAACAATTATTCAACCAGTGAATGGTTGAAAACTTTCAAACTGAAAATCATAACACAACTAAAGGCCTTCTTTCTGGGAAGCTGACTTCTTCAATCTTACTCTTGGGAAACAAGAAAAGACTATGTCTTTATAACTATAAATGACTAACATACCACTTTATTTTAGATAAATGATAACTGAAATGATTCATGTTATCACCGACCATCAAATGAACGACAACATAGGAACTTTCATATATTTTAGCACATCCATTACGAGTCTTCCAACACTCCCTCCTCCCAGCTTATAACTTTAAAAAACCCACAGCTGCAGAAAAGCCATGTGCTGGTAGTGTTTTTCTCCATCATCTCCTACCTTTCCTCACGAGGTAAACAACTCAGCAGCCAGACACTTAACATGACCTCGTCCTCAAACAATCTGAAGCAGCCACCTGTGTGCTTTAGATTTACATTGCTTAACTAGGCAGAGGAACATTTCTTTGTACTAGTTTTAAAATATGCTTATCCATGGAAAATAAAGAAAATAAAACTAAAAATTCTGGGTCTCAAACTGAATAATTATTATAATTATTTTTAATAAAATCACCTCCCCACACAGTTATTTATAGTTCATAATCAGGAGTGGGGAATCATAGAGGCTAAACTTTATATCTAACAATCAGTCAAGGCTATTTTTAAATGAATTATAATGTTTCAGAATAGCTATTATGAATGATATAGGCCAAACCTTTAAGGACTCTTTCAGAGACATCTGTAATTCTGAAACCTACTATCCGTGTTGTTTTTAATTACGGGGACACGCCTGCCTTTACAACTTCTGTGTCACAGGACTGAAGTCTGCATTTGCTGGCCTGTGAGTGGCATTTGAGAGCAAGGACAGGGAGGCATGGTTGGTTCATCTAAGGTCAAGAAACAGAATCCTAGTCTCATCCTCCTGGCACAATTAAAGTTCACGGCCCTCACTGTCCTATTCAAAGGCAAAGTTTCCCAAATATCTTAAGGTGAAATTTAATTCCCACACCTGAAAAATGCACAGTCTACTAGATTTCTGACCTTACTGCTGTCCACATGAATTTACAACAGTTGAAGTGCCTAATAAAAACTTACTGACACTATTCATAAAGCCCCTTTAGGCTCTACAAGGCATGTGAGTAACGCAAAATGTGCTGCAACTGAACTGGAAAAACAAATATGCAAATAACTATACTAGGAAATATTAATTGAAGTGCGATAAAGAAAGTTTAGAAGAACACCATGGACCTTTACAGAAGGAAGGCCACCATCGGCTTTGAACTGAGAAACCATGAATCAAACCACCGGGAACAGGAGGAAGGTGAGGAATGTGTCTAAGAAGCAGATAGGGCCTGGCTATGGTCCAGTACAGACAAAGGAAATAAAACCCCAAAGCACAGAAGTCAGGCTCTGGACACACGAGAAAGCCATTGTGAGTGAGGACATATCATAAAGCCCCAGTGTGTGACTGCTATAAACAAGTGCTGATGAAATGAGGCATGCTGAAATCGTATCACCAAGCTTACGATCATCAGGGAGGCCGAAGGAAGGGTGCGAGCCAGGAGGCTCCAGGGTGACGAGCACTTAGGGTCTAGTGGGCTTGGTAACGGATGTGGTGTCCTGGGGTGACGAAGGGGTGCAGAGGGCTCACCGAGAGTGCCGCAGCTGCCATTCCGCACGACCAAGACCGTGTGCTGCTGATAAACACAGGGAAGTCAAAGGCAAGGGCTGCGCCTTCAGTACTGTCTCAATGCGAAACAGAAGAGAAAAAGAAAGAAGGCGGAATCCTGGAGAATGACTACATTTGGAAAAGAGTTGAAAGAAGAGAACCTAATAAAAGCAACTATTGTTCTCAGGTCAAATAAGCAAAATGTTGTAAGAGCAAAAATGTTTAATAACAGTATCAAAAAGAAGTCCCTATCATTACAGTATCAAACACTGAAAAGGACCCGAGAAGGATAAATACTTGGAAAAATAAAAAGCACTGTTTTTAATTTTTTCAAGTAGTAGGGATTGAACCCAAGGTCAGCCCTTTTTTAAAAAAAGGTTGTGACAGGTCTTGCTAGGCAGGGCTCAAACTTGTGATTCTCCTGCTTCAGCCTCCCAGAGTAGTGTTTCCTGATTTTTCAGAAGTCCTGGGGCAAGGGTTACAGGAGGGAGATGGCAGCCAGGAGGAAGGCACTGATCTCAGCAGTTCTTTAAAAAGACAGAATAGGGGGCTGGGGATGTACCTCAGTGGTTCCGCCACCTGCCTCACAAGCGCAAGGTCCCGAGTTTGATCCCCGGTACCAAAAAACAATAAGAATAATAATAATAAAAAGATAAAATAGAGAAATCTACTCTTCCATCTCCAAGGCAAAAAACGACTTCAAATTCTAAAGTACACTCAGTAGGATGCTGGCAAACCGACTGAGGCAGCAAGGAGAAAGAAAATTCCTTTATTATACCTTATTTATGGCATCTAACAATTTCTAGAATGTCAATACTCCAAATTTCAAGTTGGCAGCAGTTTGAAAAACTCCTAAAACTTTAGCACTAGCTACCCAGTGCAAACAGAGCCCAGCACTCCATTGCAAACCACCTATTTTATGGTCTACCCTACAAATGAGCAGCTGTGTTAACCTTCCTCCTAACTCAGTTGATAGGAATTTCCTGGACCAGCCTCACCGCCATTCACAGAAGTCTACTCTACTCTCCCTACACTGGGCTTCCACAACGGTACTGCAACTCAGCAGCCCTGGGTCTGGAAAGCTAAGTGGGTCCCCAGTGTGTCCTGCTTCACTAAGAGCCACAAGGGACAAGCAAGAAGAAGAGCCTGCAAAAAGCTGTCAGGTGACTGTTTCACACTTGTTTCCTCTGTTAGTCACCTTCCTGTCGGTATCAGACTGCTTTTGGTTGGAGTAAAACAACACCACAGACAGCGAATTACAAAGAAGAGAGGTACTGAAGGATTCTGGCTCACGGTTCTGGAGGCCATGGTGAAGGGGTGGCCCTGGGTTGGCCTTCCTGCTGACAAAGTCCCAGGCAGCACGAGGAGTCACAGGGCAGGAGTCGGAAGCACGAGAGTACACAGATGTATATATGTCTGGTCTGTCTTTGTCTTCTTGTAAAACAGCCCGGATTCCATCACTGGGGCTGCACCCCAACGCCCTTACCTGGTCCTGATCTCTTCCTAGAGGTCCCGCCTCTGACCACTAATCAGAGTGTTTCCCTCTCTCAATACCTCACTGCGGAGACCTAACTGGCTCTGCCTGAACGACTAGGGAACTTGACTCAAAACAAGAGTCAAATATGAGTCCAAATCCAGGTGAAAAAGAGCAGAAACATGGGGAGGATTCCTTGGGGGAAGGGGTCTGATCCAGCCCTGCTCCATGCTGGTGGCAAGGAACAATGATACCTAGCACACCTAGATGTACCTCAGATTTACTGTGACCACATTCGGGGACCCCAGCGGGAGCAGAGTTTCGCCTTCTCTGCGGGGCTGCCTGACAGTTCCAAAGGCCACTCCAGCGTGGACACTGAGCACTGCTAGTGTGGAGACCGCCTGCCCAGGGACCGCGGCTGGTCGGCTGCTAATGCCTTTCTATGGGTTGCCCTCCTTGATCTTCAGCCACAACCCTAAGCCACGAACCCCTTCCACGGTTGCGCCCTGGTCTCCCGAGCTCCATAACAAGGGCAGAGAGTCCACTCATCAGCAGTCTCAGAGCTAAACACGCAGCGACTCATCTGATGGGCACACAAGTCCCGGTCGGGTTCCTATATGCCACCCCGGAAATTCAACACCTCTCCTCAACTAACAGGAAGTTCATCAACAAAGCGAAACGGTGGCCCCACTCATCACAGAAACAAAACTCAGAATTGGTTTCTCACATTTCACAACTTTCCTCTTCTGGCACTTTCACAAACATCCTTGTTTCATAATATCTCATATGCCACCATTTAGGTTACAGTTCCCATCACAATTTCTCCAGACATCTGAAGTCGAACTACTGCCTAAATACTCACTTAGGAGGGGAAAGTATATACGCTTACTTTCCTTACCAATTACCAGTCTTGAAAAGTCAAGCAATGATCTTCAGGGTAATGAAGTTTTTTCCATAGCTAATCTTCTGCTCAGGACTGCGCGAAGGTCAGTCACAGAGAGGAAAGAATAGCTCCGCCAACCTGGGCATCACAAAGCTCCACAGCACACGGCCGCTCCGACCTGCAAAGCCCCTGCAGGCTCACGCCGGGTTTCCGGGGCGCATGCGCACGCGCACACCCCTCCCAGGAGAGCCAGGACAAGCAATCGCATAAGGGCCAACACAGGAGGGGCGGCACAGCCTGAGAGTAAAGGCAGATCGCCAGGTGAGAGGAGCGCTCACTTCCGAGTTCAGCGATACCCTAAGCTCCTCAGGCCCAACCCTCGCCGCCCCGCGGGGCCCGGCTCCCCCCACTCGGGACCCCGGGGATCCTCACCCCTGGCCTGTGTCCGCCGAATCCACCTCCTCCTCCGCCGCCATGGCAGCGAGACCCGACGCCGTCCGGAAGCCGGCTGACAGGCCGACTGAAGCGCCAGGGCCGCCGCCGCCCTTAAGACCTAGCGCGAGGAGCGGCACCGTGCGCTCTGCGCATGCCTGGCCCGCCCCCGCCGGCCCACCCTGGCTGCGCGTGCGCCCTCCCGCCGGGCGCGGCTGAGTGGGCGTTGAGGGAGGTGGTGGAGCCTGAGGATCTCGTGAGGCTCGTCCGGCGAGTCAGGTCGCCCCTCGTCGAAATGAGGGGTGTCCTCGGGCGTCAGCCCGCCCGCTCGGGTGAGTCTCAGTATCAGGTGCTGCCTCTGACCCGCGCCAGGTGCCCGAGGGAGCCCCCGTGGGCGGGGCGCTGCCCTGGGCCGAGCTCGGGACGAGCGGGGCAGAGAGAACCAGCGGTGACTCCCCACGCGTGTGTGCTGTGCAGCTCGTGAGAGCCTGCCCTCTTGAGAGGTACTGGGGACGTGGGGGAAACGCAACTCCCGACCTGGCAGGCGTCCGAAGTGCCCAGCTCCCGAGGTCCTGCAACATCTCAGTGAAGTCGCCGACCGAAGCTAGGAGGGTTTTGTTGGCTGTAAGGAGAAGAGTAGCTCCTGGATTTCCAGGAGGGAGACCCGAGCGGGTGGTCACCAAGGCCCTTCGTCGGGGTAATTTACCCTAACTCACTTTTCTCACCGCAGCCACCGTTTTCTTCTCCTCTGATCCCCTTGTAGACCTGATATGCGTCTGTCACCCACTGGGCACTCAAATAAATTTCTTTTGTGTAGTTGTTAGAACTTTTTAAAGGACAGTATGGATTATCTTTTTCACTATACCAGAAATCCCTCAAAAATAGGAAGGATATCTTCTTTCCGGGGCAGGGGAGCCACTTGTAACCTCGAGCACAGAAATAACTATTGTATTTGACCTAATTCACAAAATATGTTAGGGAACCCGAGACCCATACAAAACACTTCAGTAGGAATCCATGGTTTGCTAGACTTGGAATGTGTCTGTAGAAACTGGCCTTCTGTAATCTCCACCTGTCAGAGCACATCTAGGCTGGGGGCTCTCCAGTCTTTTTGGCCCACCTAGTTGTTGGGGACTCTGCTGCTTGGAACACAGCCCCAGCCTAGTAGCACCAAGTCAGATAACAAATTCCTAGGATATGACAGCACCTGACTCCTGCAGTAGTACGCAAAAGTTGGGCTGGCAAGCGTGTACCCTCAGACATCTTTGTGGACTTGAGCTTGTTCTCATAGATACCTGTGGCTGCTGCACAATAAAAAGGTGATTACTGATTCAATGCTGAGTTTATCCAGAAATTGACAATGGTGCCTACGGCTGTGGGAGTTGATGATCCTGCCTGGCTCGTGCTTTACCTTGGAGCTGATGAAGAAGCTGTCCCTGACTATGCCAAGAAGTCCAAGCTGGATTCAACCATCCACCCATCCTGATCACCACTCTATCCTGGAGTGCTTGAACTGTGTCTTCTTGAAAGAAAATGAGGGTAACACCTGTCACTGTAATCTGTACATTGAGGGCGCTGCCAACACCAACCTCAACCATGGCTTGGAACAGATCTTCTCTTCCATTACTACCTTCCTGCATTTTGGTGGTCCCCTAAAATGGTATCTCCCAGAGTTTAAGGCCAGCTTCATCCTCTGCCTCGGAATGCACTTCCTTTTGGTGACCTGCCAACCAGTTACTTAGTTAAGCAGAGCTTAGATCAGGAGATAACCATCAGCTACTTTGACCTCTTGGGAAAGTACATATCTTGCTCCACATGCTGTGCACCAGATCTGTGACCCAAAGAGCTGAGAGCTGCCATTGTACCAGCAACACCAAGTATAAGTTGATGACTAGCACTTTGTGGCTTCAGGTTTTCTTTAATTTCCAGCCCCTCAACATTGGTTTCTCTGGGGAAAATGCTGAGCAATATCACAGCTATCACAGGGCCTGGATCTTTGCCACATGCCTGCCAAGCAAGCACTTGCAAAAACTGGTTGAACCATACAGTAGGATTGACTTTTGGGAAGTAACCTTTGGGATTGACTTTTTTTTCTCTCAGCATAATTCCCTGGAGATTTCATTAAACTTGTTGGCAGTATCCAGAGTTCATTCTTTTCTGTTGGCTGAGTAGCATTCCGTGTTTGGATGCACCATAGTTCAGCTATTCACCTGTTGAAGAATATCTGTGTTCAAAGCTACCATACGCACTTGTATACAGGTTCTTGTGTAAACCTAAGTTTTATTTCCAGGGATAAAAGCCTAGTATGCAGTTGCTGGGTCGTATGACACTTGCATGCTAAAAAAGCAAAAACTGATTTCCAAGGTGGCTGTACTAGCTTACATTCCCACCAACAATGTAGAAGAGTTCTTTTTTCCCTGCATCTCTCCAGCATTTGTTATTGATTTCTTGATGATGGCCATTCTTTCTGGGTTAAGATGGAATCTCAGTGTTGTTTTAAGTTGCTTTACTCTACTGGCCAGTGATATCAAGCATTTCTTCATGTATTTATTAGATATTAGTCCTCTGAGGTAGAAATCAATATGGAGATTCCTCAAAAAACTAAAACTAGAAATTCCATTTGACCACCTATTCCCCTTCTAGGTATCTTCCCAAAAGAGTTAAAGACATATTATAGTGATACATGCATACCAATGTTTATAGCAACACAATTCATAGTAGCTAAGTCTTGGAAGAAGTCTATATGTTCATCAGCAGATGGATAGATAAAATGTGGCATTAATATACAATGGAGTACTACTCCCCATAAAGAAAGATAAATTTGAGCCATTTGTAGCAAAATGGATGTATCTTCAGACCATAATGTTAAATAAATAAGACACAACCTTAAATGGTTTCTCTTATATGAGAAACCCAAAATATAAATAGCAAAATAAAAAGGTAGGAAATAGGAAGTAGGAAGATAGATCTTTCTCAGATAGGAAGGATGGAAAAAGGCATCTGGGCGCGTTACACACACGTCCCAACTCCACACAGGGAATGCAAACATTATGTACTGCAAACATGTACTAATTTTTAAAAAAGACTTTTAAAAGCAAAAGCTACCAAACTTTTCCAGAGTGGCTGTGCCATTCTATGCTCCCAGCAGCAAGCTCTGATTGACGCTCTGCCCCATACCCTCTCAGCCTCTGGTGTGGCCTCGGTTGTTTATTGTGGCCACTTAGTAGGGCTTGGCAGTGTCCTTTTGTGGGTTTACTTCGCACTTGCTGATGATGTTGCACATCTTTTTTACCTCTGTGTTTGCCGGTGGTTTTGAGGGGGGGTGGTTTGGTACCAGGGATCAAACTCAGGACCTTGCACTTGCCAGGGAGGCTCTGAGCTAAATCCCTGGCCTTCTCCCATCTGTATGTTCTTTTCAGTGAAATACCTGTTTATGTATTTTGCCCATTTTTTAACTTGGGTTTTGGAAGTTCTTTATATTCTGTAGGTATATCAGCCCTTTGTCAGTCATATATTTTACAAGTATTTTCTGCCACCTGTAGTTTGCCTTTTCATCATTTTCACATGGGCCTTTGCAGAGCAAAAGTTTTTAATTTGATGAAATCTAGTTAATTGGCTTTGTGATGGTTTTATGCTTTTTGTGTCAAGTCCAGTAATTCTTTTAAAAAAATTTATTTTTATTAGCACATATTTGTGGTACATAATGATTACATTCATTTTGGAGTGTAGGTACATGTATATGATGCATCTTAATTCTTTTTATTTCTCTTCCCTCCTGCTTTCCTCCATCTCAAGATCCCATTTACCAAAGATCTGTCTTCCTATTTCCTATTGTTCCTCTCAAGTCTAAGAATTGTTTGTCTTACCTGGGGTCTCAAAGATTTTTTTCCTAAAAATTTTTATGGGTTTTAAAGTTACATCTAAGTCTATGACTTGTTTGAGTTAATTTTTGTATAAGGGGAGGTGTTTGTGTTGATGTTTGCTTACTTTTGCCTGCTTAATATTAAGCCACAGCACCAGTTTTAAAATAGTTTAGAAATAGTTTTTAATGTGTTACTAGGTACCCTCTTATATAAGGTGTATAAAAGATATAGACAGATGTTTTTCAGGGTGGAGGCAAATAGTCACAGACGCTCGCATGCAGGACTCAGATCCCCTTCAAGGAAGGACACTGCCCCAACCACAGTGAGTGCTTCAGTGACCGCCTTGCCGGTTTTAGTCCTGCCAGGGAGCACACTGCTGTAAGGAGCCCTCTCACCAAGGCTGCACCTTCCGGAAAGGCTCCTGTGTAATGATGGACAGAGCTAGGGTATGAAGTGGGCCAGCTCTGCTGAGCCAGTTCTGCTCTTGGTTCTGTGTGGCTGAAGCTACTGAGCTTGCATTGAAGCTCGACTTCTAGCCGGTCCCACTTCCCCTCCTTCCCACAGGTTGGTGTGCAGGACACTCCTGAACACTGAGCTCTGCCTCAGGCTGCTCCCGGAAGACCCAAACGGACATGCATTTTTTGTTTTCACTTAATGTTAAGCATGGAATTTGGCTGGAGCAGTGAGAACGGTGAGAAAGTCATGACTTGGTGGACTTTATCCTGCTAGGATGGGAGCCTGTCCCCTACGCTCCTAACACCACTGCAGAGGAGGAAAGTGAGCTGAGCAGGAAGAAGCAGGTATGGGCAGTAGGATTAGCACAATCAGGCAGGATGGGTTGGGGGATCATAGGGACCCAGGAGAGATGCAGGACATGGTCACATCCTCCACCGCCATGTTCTGTGGTGGTTCCA